GCATCACATCATACATATTAAAGCATACACCGGGCGAACCGCGCTCGCCCCAGACCTAGTTTATTCTATTCTACGGAATAAACTATCAACAATAAATTAATTAAACTAGCAAGTAATTTAATTAAAAATCATAAAATACTTTAAATTTCCAGAATGTTAGAAATTTGATTTTCTAAATTCCAGAAAATAAAATATTTTATATTTACCGTATTTATATATATTTAAATTCGAAAAAGGGCTTTTATTTTGAATTAAATATATATATGTTTTAAAATTTTGAAAACCATTTTTCAAAGATAGAAAACCAAAATTATATTGTGAAAATATATTTCGAAATTCCAAAAATATCAAAATTTATTTTCCAAGTCAAAAATAAGTTCCAGAACCAGAATATGATTTTTCTAGAATTTAAAATATTAATTTTGCAATTTAAAATAATTAAAAATCGGACTAGTGAATAGTACCGATCCAATTGCTTCAAAAATACAAAATAAATACTTTTACGTGTTTAAAAATTATGAAAATGTTTATACAAGCTTTAAATCTCTGGTCGCAACTTATTATGAATTAAAATTAATTTTTGATCGTAAAAAATAAGTTTTCCCATTTTCTATTCAATAAACGAATTTAAAAATAGAAAAATAGGAAATTAATTCCAAAAATATATTTTAAAATTTCTGAGTTATATTGACATGTCAAATACTTCCCAGAAAATATAAAATCTAATTTTCATAAATATTAAGTATTTATGGCACAAATAACAAGTATTCTACACATAAACTACTTAATAAGAATAATATAACAATACCCCAAACAGTAATTCCGAAAATTACTAAACAAAATTATATTAGGTCTAGTATCTAAATATGGCCAACTAATTAAATTTTAATGGGATAAATTTTTGTCTCCAAAATTTATTGACTAATCTACAAAAACAATAACGGTAAAAACTACTAAACTAGTAACTTCGTAAGCCGGCTCTGATACCACTGTTGGGAAACGAGGCTTGGATAACGCAGCGAAAACAAAAATTTATAGTCCAAAACTCGATTCCACCCAAGAACAACTTACGTAAATCACTAGCTATAGTAAGAAATTTACCTTAACAGTGAAAACGGAGAATGGAGGAACGGTCGGGGATGGTTTTGAGGAGATGAACGTAGCGCCAAACGTATGAAGCCTCCAACGTATCCACACGAACTTGCTCCGGAGTACAAGATTAAACTTGTGCTAGCAAGTTTAATATAGTATAGTAAAAACTATAATAATACTACTTTGGGAGTAATAAATATATAGTAAAATATTTATCTTATAAATATTTGTTTATCATATTTTGTGTATATTTCTAACACTTTAGAAAAATAACTTTTGAACACAAAATAAAATTTTTCTTCTCTCTTATTTGTGATGGGCGAATGTATTAAGCTCAAAGGGGAGGGATTGTATTTTCATTGTATAATAAACAACTTAAATGAATTTCTAGGAAATAGCTTAGGGACAAAACAAATTAGGATTAATGTAATGTCCCCAACCAACACAACAAGACAAATATTCTTTACTAATCAAATATTTGATTATATAAATCAAATATATCATTAGGTAAAAAATCAAAATATGTTTTGTATCTTTCTCTTGAAATTTTCGGCCATTTCAATATATCATATTTTATTTTGACATCAATAATTATCATATAATTAAAATGATAAAAATAAAAGTAATATATATATATATATATCGGCGCTACATATATATATATAATAAAATTTGTTTTGTCAAAATATAATTATCATATAATTAAAATGACACAAACAAAATATAATTTTAAAATACATATGTATTTTTCGAAATACATATATATACATATATATATATATNTTAATATAAATTAATACCATAGATAATAAGCGGTATCTAGCAACACATTATTATCCCCAGATTATGAAAAAGACGTTCATCTCATCAATACCTTCTACGACACAAGACGTTCTATAACTATTATCCTTCTGCCCTATATGTCATGATTTAACACAAGGCATGGGATGTGTATCCTTGTATAGTTAAATCAACTGTTACTGAATCTCAAGTAGACTGGCAGGGATCAGATATTTATCAGTCTCTAGATAGCGACATATCTGGGCATGGCCATGCACTTTCCCAAGTCCTACTATTCAGTGGGCCCATTGACATTATACTTCTATACAGTAGAAGGGACAGATCCTGTATCTGTTATTCACATCTCTAAATATGCTTAGCGGCATACCCAACGCATAACTGTACGTCTACCAGTATTTCAAAGTGTGAATCCCCATGTTTAGGGATCCAGGTCCAAATATCTCTGTCGTGAAGGTAAACACTGTGAACCCACTGAACCCAGAGGGTTTCTTTTCTTAATGCAATGTTCCACAGGTTTTTAGCCATGACTGCTTGATTCCAAACTTCAGAGTTCCTAAGCCCAAGTCCCCCTTCCTCCTTTGGTTTGCAAATATCATCCCAAGCCACTTTGTAGAATTTGTTTCCCCAAAGGAAGGTTCTGCAGATGGAGGTTATCCTGTTCAGGACAGATTTATGGATGGGGAAGGCTTGAAGCCAAAAACCTTGTATTCCTTGGATAACACTCCTAATAAGTTTAGCTCTACCAGCAATGGTCAAGGTCTTAGTATTCCATCTTCTTATATTATCATCAACTGTTTCAATCAATGGTGCAAAATCCCTCTCTGATGCCCTTTGTGAAGTGAGTGGCAGTCCCAGGTATTTAACTGGTAAAAGTCCTTCAGGGAAATTCACCAAGTTGAGGATATGCTGCTTATTCCCCTTGATTTGCCCTGCCAGAAAGATATTTGATTTTTGTGCATTGACATGGAGGCCTGAGACAGAGGAAAAGTGCTTCAAGGCATCAGCAAGGACCTGGACAGATTCTTTGTCCCCTATGGAGAACATCATGATGTCATCAGCAAAGGCAATGTGTGTTATCTTCAGAGAGGAGCATTTAGAGTGGAAGTTAAATCTCCTCTCTCTGGTCATTCTCTTCAGAAGTCTAGAGAGGTATTCCATGCAGAATAAGAACAAGGTAGGTGCCATGGGGTCTCCTTGTCTGATTCCTCTTCTGCATTTGATGAAGCCATGAATTCCACCATTCAAAGATAAGGAAAAGGATGCGGAGGAGACACATTCCATTACCCAAGCAGTGAACTTAGTAGGGAATCCAAGGCCAGTCATAGTATTCTTCAAAAACTCCCAAGAAATAGTGTCATATGCCTTGGTTATATCCACTTTAAGCATGCAACAAGGAGGACTTCTTCTCCTGGCATATCCTCTAACCAAGTGTTGGGCTAGCAGTATGTTGTCCACCAGACTCCTCCCACCCACAAAAGCAGACTGTGCTTGATCAATGATTTCAGGAAGTATATGACTCATTCTGTTGGACAAAATCTTAGTGATGACTTTATAGATTACATTGGAGCAGGCTATGGGTCTAAAATCCCTAACAGTAGGGTTCACTTTAACTTTAGGGATCAAGGCCACAATAGCATGGTTGAGTTGCTTAAGAATTCTCCCACTAATAAAGAATTCAGACACTGCTTCATACAGGTTATTTCCAACAATATCCCACTTTTCCTTGAAAAAAGCAGAGGTGTAACCATCAGGGCCAGGGGATTTGTTATTCCCAATGGAAAAGAGTGCATCCTTAACCTCTTCAATAGTCACCTTTCTGATGAGGTTGTTAGCTGCATGGTTGGGGATGAGAGGGCCCTCTTAAAAAACATTCCAATCAACAGGTTCAATGGGGACAGTGATTCCAAAGAGATTGGTAAAGTACTCAATAAATTCCTTTTCAACCTCCTCCAAACTGGTGGTGAGTCTCTGATCATTTGTAACAATCAAGGGAATGGCACTACTATGATTCTTTTTCCTCATGAGGGCATGGAAAAATTTGGTGCATTTGTCCCCCTCAAAGAGAAGTTCACACTTAGTCTTCTGTTGGAAGAAAGATCTTTCAGCATCCATGAAGAAACTTGCTTTGTTTCTGAGTTCAACACTTTTGGACAGAAGGGAATGGTTGTCAGGTTCCAGGATCAGCTCTTGCATGAGATGGTTGTACTCCTTTCTGGCAGATTCAGCTCTCTGAGAAATATGGCCAAAGTGTGGTTTATTCAGAAGCCTCAAAGGTTGTTTCAGTCTCTTGAGTTTGACACATAGTCTGTACTGCCTTGTTCCATTGACCCATTGATTCCAATTCTCCCTGATGGTTCTGGATATTCATAAGTTTCAGCAACACTGGGCAGTGGTCAGAGATTGCCTCCATGTCTCTAAACTCAGCCTAGCAATCCCATTGCATATTCTACCATTCATCATTGATCAGCACTCTGTCAAGTTTGGCCCACTTTTCACCTTTGTTCCAAGTAAATTCCAGCCCTGATGAGTTTGCATCATTAAGGGCATTGTTGATTCTGAACTGTCTGAGATCTGTCATGTAGTAGACGCTCTGGGTTTGGCAGTTCACTCTTTCAGTGGAGCTGATAACTGCATTGAAATCCCCCATGACAGCCCAAGGGCTACTGAGATCACCTGCAATGTTAGTCAAAAAATCCCACAACCCCCTTCTGGCAGTACCAAAGTAGAGGGCATAAACAAAAGAAACATAAAAACTCCTTTGAGAAATGAGGCACTTGATCTTACAATGCATAAGTTGGTCAGTGACATGAATAATGGTGCACTCCACAAAAGAAGGATTCCAAAAAACTGCCATTCTCCCATCATTAATGAGGTCAAAATTATGTGACAAGCTCCATGATGGGAGTTTATTTTTAGCAAAAAGGTTAAGTTTGGCAGTATTCATTTTTGTTTCTAAAGCACAAAATAAGTTGACACCAAGGTCAAAAAGTTATTTACACAAAAAGTTTTGCTTAGAGGCCTTGCCAAGGCCTCTAATATTCCAACAAAGTACCTTCATCAACGGTAAGGGCCATAGCCCCTTCCCCTTCCTCTATTTGCCCCACCTCTGTATCCTCTAGTCTGACCTCCCCCTTTGTTGTATCCAGTTCTCTGCTTTCCATCCCTGATAGGGTGTGTTCTAAGTTTGCCCTTGACCCCTCTAACTTGTCTGAAGCCATCATCCTCAATGTGGGCAGTGAAGGATGGGCCAGGATCATTTGGGTTTTGGGCCACACCACCTGAGCTATCCTTTTCTTTTCCTTTGTTTTCATCAGTGTTGTTCACATCATCTTTCCCATTTTCCTTTCCCTTCTGTGGTTGTTGTTGTTTTCCAGTTGTTGCTTGTACTTCTGTAAGCATTATGGTTTTGAGGGTTTCAACCCTATCCCTCTCTCTTGCTTTTTGTTCTTCATTGAATCTTCTCTTGTTGATCTCATGAAGAACTGAGCAGTTAAAGGGGTCATGGCCAAAACACTTACAATGATAACAATATTGAGGAATGTCCTCATACTCAACCTTTTGAACATAGCTACCCCCAACAAAATCCACCTCAACAGAAGTAGGAGGTGTAAGGGATAGGTCCATGTTTATCAACATTCTGCAGTAATTGGGTTTCTGATATTTAAGCTCATCATTGTCTTCCTGATCTTCAGCACTCAACTTGGAAGACACTGTGTGAGTGAGGCCATCAGTGTATATGGGAGTACCCAGTTGAGACCCTATGTGAGATAGAGCATTTGAGGACCAGAACCTCATGGGAACATTCCACAGCTTAACCCAGACAGGCATAGTTGAAAAGGACTTAACATCCCACATAAAGTCATCAGGAGGGATGTTAATGAGCAATTTCTTATTATTGAGTTCCTTCTTGGCAAGTAAGAGAGCAGAATCCCTATCGGCATTCAAAAGTTTACACAAGAATGCACTCAAGTCAAGTTGCATATGCACCACTTTGAAGTATACATCTTCTCCCCCTTTTGTCAAAATCAAAAAGGGTATTTTGAAAATTTTAACCATGTATAACTTCTTGAAACCCTCCCCCTATCAAAATGAATTTTTAGGAAAAATGATATTTTTGAGATCATTGGGCAAAAGGTGCATTTACAAGGGATTGTCTCACTTGACTCTTTCTTAAAGGATTCGTATTCGGAATTCCCAAGGGCAATTATTGTTTGCTTAGTTGAGACGCCGCCTTCATGAGTAGCTTGTAGCAAGTCCCATACCTCCTTGGTTGTTTTACATGAGCATACTCGTGCAAATTCATCGGGGCCGAGAGAGCAATGGAGGATGCTGATTGCCTTTGTGTTCATTGATAACTTTCTCTTATCTTCCGACGATAATCCTGCAAATCACCATTACTCGGCACAAACGGCCTGTGAAGTACATTCAACCATAAATCAAAATCAATAGATTGAATGAAATATTCCATCCGCATTTTCCAATAAGAATAGTTTTGGCCATTGAAAAACGGAGGGCGGTGGATGCTTTGGGAATCCATTTGAGCCATTTTTTTAATAAATTTGAATTTAGAGAAAATAATAAAATTTTGAGTTTTTTAAAAATTCAAATTTAAAAAGGACACAACAAGTGGATCTTTGTCGTAGATGCGGTTAAGCACTTTCCACTACGAAATTGCTCCGATACCAATTTTTAGTCGTTTTAGTCGTTGTGCCCACACCATAGAGGGGGGTGAATAAGGCGTTTGAAAACTTTTCGGAGTTTAATAAAAATGGTGTTGGCAAATGCGGAAGCAATATATAAAATGCAAAAATAAAAGCGTAAATAAAATGCACACCGAATTTATACTGGTTCGGGAACTCCCTACTCCAGTACCTCGAGGCTCCTCCTCAAGGATTTCCGAATCCACCGTACTAGTTTGGCAAACAACCCTTGCCAATAGGATTTACTCTGAGATTTCACCACGGCTATCTCGAACCGTTTACAATGAAGATTTAACGGCTATCTTCTACCGTTCCCCCAAGGATTTCAAAGGCTATCCTTGAACCTTTACCCAAGGATTTATACGGCTATCTTTAACCGTTACAACTTGAGAATTTAACGGCTATTCTCGACTGTAAGAAGGTGTGTTTGAAAAACACAAAAGAGGATTCTACACAACGGCTAGAATATAAAAATGAAGAACAAAACTTAGCCGGTGTAGAAAGAAAGTATACTCTCTCAAAACTACAATTCAAACTTATGAATATGAGAGTATATAACTAGAAACACAAGCTTAAAGTGTGTGTATAAAAATCAGGAATTTAAGGCACTTAAAATAGCCAAAAAATTTAAAATAATTAATAAAAGAATGAACACACTTAGAATATAAAGAGAGGATGTTTAGACCTTTGTTTCTTGAAGTAATATGAGGGATTGGGCTTATATTTATAGTGGAAGATGTTAATTAGCCGTTAGGAAGTGATTAGGGTTGATTTAATTCAAAATCTCAAATCAGGAATAGTAACCCAACGGTCACGGTAGGCCGGTACCGTCCACACGGTAGCATGGTACTGTGCATACGGTAGGGGGGTATCGTGAGTGGCGGTACCTCAGTACCGTGTAACACCAAAAATCCATTCGGCTCTGGCGATACCTGGTTAGGACGGGTTGGGCCAATCGTCTACGCCTACCGTCCGGTACCTAGGTACCGTTACACGGTATGGGGGTACCGTGTAGGCAGTATAACCTACCGTTTGGGGTACCGCTAGGGGTACCGTGCCACTGTTCTGATTTTTCCAAAATTCCATTAATCCTTCGTGTTTGAGTATAAAACCTTTTAGATGTTTGAAAATGTTTATGGGATGGTTTTAAACATATTTTGTGAGTGCTTTTGAACTTGTGAATATAGGTATATAATGTCATATCCTTACATCGGTTTCTACCTATATTCTACGCTAGTTTAGTGTTTCGACTTCGTTCTTGAGTACCAAATCTTAATGGATTCTTGTTTTACCTGAAACACTTAAACAAACGTTAAGCTCTTATATTGTTTGTTAACATCAAAACATGAGGCTTAGCAAACCAAGGCTAACAGGATGCATCTCTGGTCATGTGCTTGGAGCATCCGTTATCAAGGTACCAAAGTACACTTGATGCTTTCAAGCACACCTGAAATGGATAATGCTATGTGTACCCCAAGATTTGTACCCCAATTTGTACCCCGCAGTTTTGCACCAACATTTTGTGTTGGTGTAAAACTAATATTTGTTAAACGCACCAACATTTGTGTCCGTGTGAATTTTTATTAACGCGCCAATACTTGTGTCGGTGTAAACCATCGAAATGTTTGTGTAAACCTATGGTGTACAAATGGGGTATATTTGTTGGTGTAAGTGTAGCATGATCCCACCTGAAATATTTATTTAATTGGGGGTTTTGTTGGACATGAGTTCAAACCCTTTACTATTTCTTCTGGAATATTTGTTTTTGTTTTGATGAATGACAAACAGGATGATTAATTTCAAGTTGATCGAAAATTTATTTTCGTATCGAGAAAAGCAAAGAAGGGTATCAAGAAGTTTACGGCGATAAAAAAATCGACGATCACCCCTACGCAGATTTTTTTGAAGTGAAGTGAAGACTCTGAAGACTTTTTCTTTTTTTAAGTCTAGGAATCTTTGTAAGGATGACAATATTTTCTGCACAAACGAATTAATTTCTGGGGGATAAAAATAATTATTTTTGAGTTAGTTGAAAAATTACTTTTCCTCTGTCTAAAATATTTTATTGAGTCAGTTTCAAAATAAGTGTGTCAAAGTTTCTTTAAAACATTTTTTTTAGGATTACACAATTTTTTTTTTGGTAAGAAAAATATAATTTAAATATTTTTCGTGTACATCGTTTGACACACAAAATATTTTTTGGACTCTTTTTCTCTCCCCTACTCAAATTCATTGAATAGGAGGAGCGTCCGTTGATATTTCCGTTATCCCAAACAACGAGTTAGAAGCCAAAGGCTTCCAATCGCACTTGGCTTGGGCCCTTCATGTTTGCGCATTATTTTTTCACTTTAATCGATTAAATTATCTAAAATAATCAATTAGATCCAATTTCTCAGCGCTGGATTTCTCAGGCCAATAGACTTAATCGATTAAATTTGTCCATTTAATCGATTAGTTTAAACAGAGCAAGGTAATCGATTTTTCTCTCTTTTTTAATCGATTAATTCCACCTTTGCATTCAAGCCTTTTCGCTTCTGTACACCTTAATCGATTAAAGTCCCTAATTTAATCGATTAATTCTGTCTGGTGCCTATTCTTAGTTCTTTTCAGTGGCTCCAATGGATCTTTTTTCCTCAGCCTATTTAATCCCTCATTCTCCTTCATTTCCAATGACATCTCTTGCACTCCAAAATATTCTTTGAGCTATATTCATCCTTTGCTTCATCTTCCTCATCAAAATATTATTTTTGAGAGTTAGAAATATTTTCTTTGAGTGCTAAAGAAGTTGTCATCCATAGAGCTTTAATTCTTCAACACTACTTTGCTCAATTGTGTGAGCTTTCATTCTTGTGTTGTAAACTCAATCTCATTTGAGTGTTGTTCTTAAGACTTGTGTGACTCAAGTCTTGTTGTTGTAAGAAAGTGAGGCTTGTGTGATTCAAGTTCTCAAGTTGTACCGGTTTTTCAAGCACCCGTTGAAGCTTGAAGATTAGTAGGACTTTCGAG